CAGAAATCACTAAAATACATCTTTGACTGGATCTATGAATACATCTATGACTAGGTTTGGATAGTGCTTGCTTTTTGAGCAAAACAATGAACGGTGCAATCTGAACCTGATATTGCATCATAAATTATATTAATTGCATCATGTTATTCCTAGAAGTAATGGATGGTGAAATCATAACTAGGCTTACATCCATCAGCTGAACAAATTGCCCTATATCAGCTCTTGAAATAATTCAGTGTCGTGCTCTCTCATTTGTCAGTATTTGATTTTGCAAAGGGACACATTTATGTTTAGCCAAAGTGAGAAGAGATGTCTCGTACTTGTGTGAACAAAATAGATAACCTCTGCTATTTTTATGGTGAAGTGACTTTTGCATCACAAAATGGCAATATAACTACTATGGTTAAGAAAGACTATCACCTTTATTTTGGCTACAAAATTGTAGATCAGGACAAGATGTGGGCCCCACACATATGCTGCAACACTTGTGCAACAAATATTTGCTAGTGGTTAAACAGAAAAAGGAAATCTATGCCTTTTGCAGTGCCAATGATTCGGAGAGAGCCAACAGATGATATCAGCAATTGTTACTGCTGCATGGTGCCTCCAGTTGGGAAAGCTGTGTCAAAGAAGAAAAAGTGGACTCTGCGTTATCCAAACATTCCATCAGCTATACGTCCAGTATCCCACGGAGAAGGACTGCCGGTTCGTGATGCACCAGAATCATTCTCACTTGAGTCAGACGAGCAAGAGGAAGAGGACGAAACTTCTGGCCCAGAACCATCAAGGTCACATTACCCGGATTTTCTCCGATCCTCCTCCTCTGAACCACACCTCGTAACACAAGGTAAACTGAAAGATCTTGTCAGAGATTTGGAACTACCCAAGAGTAAGGCAGAGCGGTTGGGCTCCAGACGACAGTCGTGGAATCTCCTGGCAGGTGATGTTAGGGTTTCCATGTTCCATGACCGTCAAATGGATCTTGTCCCATTCTTCTTAAGGGAAGGTGATCATGTAGCCTGCAACAACATCGATGATGTGATGGCAGCCCTCAACACAGTTCATGATCGAGATGAAAGGAGACTGTTCATTGAGTAATCGAAGGTGAGTCTTAAAGCTGTTTTGCTGCACAATGGCAATGTTTTGCCATCAATTCCAGTTGGTCATGCAGTCCATATTAAGGAAAGCTATGACAACATGAAACTACTTTTGAGGTGCATAAACTATGACCAACATCAGTGGCAGCTTTGTGGCGATTTGAAGGTTGTTACTCTCTTGCTTGGTCTGCAGACTGTATACACAAAGTAGTGCGGTTTTCTCTACGAATGGGATAGTCGTGCAAGAAATTCCCATTACATTAAGATAGATTGGACACTCTGACAGTCATTGGAGCCTGGGAGGAAAAGTGTTCAGCATTCCACAACTTGTTGAACCAAGGAAGATTTTGTTACCACCCTTACACATCAAGCTGGGTCTGAGGAAGAACTTTGTCAAAGCGATGGACAAAACACGAGCAGCTTTCAAGTACCTCCGTGGAAAATTTCCAAGGTTAAGTGAAGCCTAAGATAAAGGAAGGTGTCTTTGTTGGTCCTCAGATTCGTGAACTTCTTCGAGATGAGGCATTTGACAGTGCACTGCGTGGCAAGGAAAAGACGGCATGGAAAGCCTCCCACAGTTAGTGGCAACAATTTTTTCTCGGAAACAACAAGCCAGACAACTACAGAGAGTTGGTGGAAAACCTCCTCAAGGCATCCAAAAGCTTTGGTTGTAACATGTCACTAAAGATACATTGTTTTCACTCACATCTAGATTTTTTCCCACCGAACTGCGGAGCAGTGAGCGATGAGCATGGCGAGCGATTTCACCAGGACGTTCCAACAATGAAGAAACGCTATCAGGGCAAATGGAGACAGACCATCATTGCTTGCAGACTATTGCTGGACAATGACAAGAGATGCTCCATTTAATGACTACAAGATGCAAGCCAAGAAGCACCGACTATACACTGAATAAGGATTAAACTACGTACTTATATATATGCATAATAGTTTTTTGCCTTTCGTTTCATAATAAATGTTATGTATATAACCCTTTTGCTGATTATGAACAGGGCAGGTGACATGTTATCATATAAAGCAACTATAAACACATGAAAAGACCGAGGTTTACAATTTATGAGTAAAACTCTATTTACACAATATACATAGACGTTAAATGTAAAAACTTAAATATTTTGGGAACAGTAGCCAATAATATTCTTGGTTCTTTCGGTAAAGTCACGTAGAAGGGAAACAATAAAATAATAAAAATATAAAACAATAAAATTCTCCGACGTTTCGACTGCAACACAAGCAATCATCATCAGGTGTGAAAACCACAGAAAGAAACATTTGAAAAAAGTGGCGGGTTTTTTTTACGTTACCACCACGAAGAGTGATTTGGCAGTTATTCAAATGGACGAGTCCATCTATGTTCGGAAAGAGGGGGGAGACAAAAATAATGGATGCGGTCTGAAAGCCACCATAAGCGTGAACAATCAATTAAGACCCGAAATGGTTTATCAAATCCTTCCAATGATTGCTAAGCCAGAATCCATCTTCTCGGTTGAAATTGTCTCTGTGCTTGTATATGTGAATGGCCTCATGAACGAATCTCTCATGGTAGCCGGTTGGTTTGCAAAGAACCTCCGTCTTGGAGAAGTCAATGTCATGTGAGCCCACTGAATTATAACAGTGATCTGCCACGGCAGAGGAGTTTGTTCTACCGTGTTTCAAGTCTGATTTATGTTCGCGGATGCGGTCCGAGATATGTCGTTTGGTTTCTCCAATGTAGCTACTACCACAGATGCACTTTAGTTTGTAAACGCCCGGGTACTGTATGTCTGGAACAGCATCTTTTACAGATGGAACCAGATCACGGATTTTATGTACTGTGTTGAATCGGACCTGGATCTTGTGTTTATTCAGGATTTTGGAGATCTTTTTAGTGACCCCTGCAATGTAGGAAAAGGTGATGGTTTTGAGTGGCTCCACAAGAGGATCCTTCTTCATGACTGGAGTGATGGCTTTGTGGCTTGTGTAGTCAGAGTAACCATTAGACCTGAGAGCTTGGTGTACGTGCTTGAGTTCACTGGCAATGTGTTCCTGGTCGGAAATGCATTGGGCTCTATGGTATAGAGTCTTGATGAGGGAGTTCTTCTGGGATGGATGGTGGTGGGAATACGGTTTCAAGTAAGCATCTGTATGGGTAGCTTTCCTGTAGACAGAGTGGCTCATTGAACCATCATGTCTCCTTTTAATTAAGACATCCAAAAAGGGTAGTTTGCCATCTTTTTCTGATGGCTGGGTGTATGGAATTGGTGGTCGCAGAATTGATCTAGAGCAGGCTGGCCATGTGGCAAGATAATAAAAGTGTCATCCACGTACCTCTTCCATAAGGTCGGGCGTAGAGTGACAGTCTGGATGGCGTCAGTTTCAAATTTTTCCATGAATACGTTGGCTACAACCGGAGATAGGGGGGAGCCCATTGGGGTGCCCTCAGTTTGTTTGTAGAAAGTTCCAATCCAGGTGAAGTATGTGTTAGTTAAGCAATGTCTCACCAGGGGGGGTACATCAGTATGCAGTCCTTGATGAACCAGGTCTTCAATGATAGCGATGGTGTCAGGTACCGGGACTTTGGTGAACAAGGACACCACATCAAAACTGACAAGCAGGTCGTCTGGGGACAGGGAAATGCCTTTCATTGTCGATACCAGGTGAGTAGAATTTAGTACCGCAGAGGTGGTTTTTCCAGTGAAAGGTCGCAGTATATCAGCAAGAAAACGTGCCAGTTTATAGGTGGGGGAGTTGATAGTAGAGACGATGGGACGAAGGGGTGTATCTACTTTATGTATCTTTGGAAGGCCATATAATCTTGGTGGTCTGGCAGCAGAGGGTTTCAACGAGAACTGTTTGGTCTGATCAATTAATGCTGTTGAATCAGCGATGATTTTGTTCGTTTTGGTAACCAGGCTGTTGGTGGGATCTCTTTTTATTTTTGTATAGCGGCCATCGTTGAGTAGTTCTTGAATTTTGTTGTTATATTGTTTTGTCCATGATGACAGTGGCATTGCCCTTGTCGGCTGAGAGGACGACAATATCATCTCTCTTTTTTAATTGAGATAATTCAAAGAGTTCATCTTTGCTGATGTTGCTGGGTGGCAACTTAGCGTTTTTGAGGGTTGCAGCAATTTCAGATCTTGCTACGTCTGCAGAGATGTGACTCAAGCCCTTGAGTGCAACGTCAACATGGGCAATGATATCATTAACTGGTATGTGTCTCGGTGTGACAGCAAAGTTTAGACCTTTAGCTAAAACGGATTTCAGACCATCCGAAATGGAACTGTTACTGCGATTAATTACGACTTTGTTGACGTCTATCTAGCTTAAAGGTCGCGATCTTAGCGTGGCTTTTTTCACTCCAGCGCTGGAGTGACAGACAGTCTCGTCCCTTCACCTGATGAAGGCCGCTTGTGTTGTGGCCGAAACGTCGTGAGAATTTCATCGCGTTGTTTTATTTTATCAATTTATTATTTTATTCTCATTTTACGTGGTAGTGACTTTACCGAAAGAACCAAAGAAGATGAATCCTTGCAGTCACGAAAGCTTTCAATCGAAATTTGCACTGACTTCATGAAGCACCACAAACCACGTGACAACCCTTACTAGTTCGCTGTGCGGGGTGGTGGCGGGTTTTCACGACACATATATTTACGCGATCTAACCCAAAAAAACCTCTATTATGGATGACATTGGTCGCGAAAGCCGACGTGTTAAACGTGATCATCTTTCACTGCGCAAATGAGTAACGTGCCGAATAAAAAAAAAACACATATATAAAGACTACTGTAGTTCACGTGTTTGCTGAAGTGCCTCCCAGAATAACAGCAGGAAAAGAGGGGGGGTGGGGGCGAGGAGAGGTTGCAGTGAGAGTGGGACGTGGATCGGATGCCCCGTGCTCACCGACTTATCCTCTTGCTCTGTCTGCACCGGGACGATGTCGTGCCTCCTGTGGCAGCTCGTGCAGCCCGGGCAGATCAGCTGTGCGTCCGTCCTGCAGTAGAGTTCCAGGCCCTGCCCGTGAGGCTCGCATCTCCTCCCTCCGCGTGGGCTATTGATCCCCGCGCGTGGGCTATTGATCCCCGCGCGTGGGCTATTGATCCCCGCGCGTGGGCTATTGGTCCCCGCGCGTGGGCTTATGGGAATTTCCGTGAGAATTTCCATCATGTTGGCTATGAACACGTTCTTGCTCAGCTCTGGCTTGCGGTAATAGACCCGGCGGCACTCGGGGCAGGAGAACCCGGTCTCCTCTGACTGCACTGCCCAGTGGCTCTCAATGCACGACTTGCAGAAGCTGTGGCCACAGCTCAAACTCAGAGGGACCTTGAACAACTCCAGGCAGATGGAGCATGAGAAGTCTTCTTCCGGAGCCGGGGAATCCATCGCTGCGGAGCGGAGGAGTTGTGCGGCCGCGCGGCCAGAGGGCGACTTGAGAGAGTCGAGGAAGAGGAGGCGTCGCATTAATGAGGAGCCTCGCCCTCGTCTAAGTGTGAGGTCGCTATGGAAACCACCCCTCTGTGTCATCTGAGTGATGATGCAGTGGGCGTCGAACCATGCTGTCACCCACAGAGACAAAGATCCCCCGTATAGCCTGTGACAGACTTAGGGCAAGTGCTGTTAGCGAGCACCTATGAAGGCTGGCAAAGTGCACGAGGTGGCCAGCACAACGCTCGACCGCAATTGTCTCCCTAGTGGCACTGTTTGTCACATCGTACCAGGCAGTCGTTTGAGGCCGAGTCGACCTAGGGGAGACCCAGGACAGACTCAGATAGTCGTCACTGGTGCTGGCCTACAGGCGGGAATCGGAACTCGGGTCGCCGGGTCGATAGCGTAGCGCTGACCACACCACGCCACTGACAAACACTCGTGCCTCGCCCTGAGCCTCGAGCGTGGCAATGAGATCAATGTTCACTCACCCACCCACCCCACCCAGCCACCTCTGTGGGAATGTTGCTCTGGGCGATGCGCAATGCGGGCGGGCCGGCGTAGGTTTTGTGCGAACCCGTGACCAGTGGTTGAAGCACTGTGAATCTCGGGCTTTGCTTTTGCGTGGGAAACATATAACGTGTAAAGATATTCTTAGTTCTTTCGGTAAAGTCACCACGTTGAAGGGAAGCAATAAAATAATAAAATATATATAAAACAATAAAAAAATTTCTCACGACGTTTCGACCATAACACAAACGGTCGTCTTCAGGTGTGTTATGGTCGAAACGTCGTGAGAATTTTTTTATTGTTTTATATATATATTTTAATTATTTTGTTGTTTCCCTTCAACGTGACTTTACCGAAAGAACTAAGAATATGAATTACTGCAGTCACGAAAGCTTTAAATAAAAAAATTTCACGTGTAGAGAGTTAAGCGTTGCACTGTTAAACACGACTCACCGTAAAATAATCAGGGAAAATATGTGAGTGATGCCACGGTGTCCGAACACACACCCGCCACTACAGCCGAACGTACACAGCACACAGTTACCATGCACCCCAGCCGTACACCACCAGACCATCACACACCTAAGCCACAGTTGGAGGCCCATACACTTACACAGAGACCCATAGATAATCATTATGAGAGACCCAGAGGCTTACATAGAGACCCATAGGGTTACATAGAGTCAAAAGAACACGAAGGCTCTCGCGACCAATACTATTCATATTAAAGGTTTGTCGGTTCAATCGCGTACACCATTTGGCTGCTATAAATGCCCAAGTGATAAGCTACTTTGTTGGGTTATCATTTGCGGCGAAGGTCACTTCTGGTAAAACAAATGTGGTAAAAAAAAGTTTTCAAGACACACGTTTATTTTCGCTCAAAAGTAGAAGATAAATTAATTAAATTGGATGTGCTGAATAAAAGTGAGTGGCTTATTTTTGATAGGTTAACTGTTAAAAACAGCATCACTATAACCCTCAACGCCTATGAAATCACCCGGACTTGGAATGCGCCCGATCTGGTCGAACCTCTAAAGCCAAGCAGATCTGAGCTTGGATAGTGCCTGGATGGGTCGCCACCATGTACATACAGGTAGTCATAGTGCTTCGGGGCCACGTTGTGTTTATATCCAGTTATACTGTACGTCTATCACTCGGCCTTAAGATTTGCATTGAACTGCCCATATAGGACTCACCACTGTGATCTCTACATTGGGTCAAACTTAACATCTCTTAATGTTCGACGGCTTGTGCACCAGATCTTATTTATTCACGATGTACTTACAAAAAAATCCGCAGACTACCTACTGGATCTCCTCTGTTTCAAAGAACAAATTTGACCTCAGGTCTTCGCTCATTTACCAGCTTCACATTCCCTATTGCCGTACAAAAACTGGAGGAAGGGCCTTTGCTATTGATGCCCCCAGGGTCTGGAATGCTATTGCCAATAAACTGCAACTTGAATCACTACCTATGAGATCTTCACTCAAAACTGCTCTAGAGGAGTTGTACAACCCTAGCTGCCACTGTTATTCAGTGGCCTAAAATATGGCTCTAGATTTTGGTGTTATAATTAATTTATGTAGTTTATTGTAAAAAATTCGGTCACAGTCCCTATGATCACTGTTACATTGGATTTATGGCTTTTATTTTGGTGATTTCGAAAAGTTTGTTTTGGCCATGTTTTTGTTTATTGTTGTACGGAGTTAGACTGATGGCTTTAATCTTAGTTGTCTTGTGGTTGTTGTTATCTGACTTGCATCCCACTGGGATTTTTGCACACAGCGTTGGTGTACGGTGCTATTTCAGGAATATTTTGATATTTTTTTCCTGTATTTTCTGTTTGCACAGTCACACAAAGTCACTTTAAGATGTTTTCTTGTTCATGTTTTTTGTTCGTTGCGGTTGCACCCGATTCAAGAGCCGAATGGCTCACAGGGCTATACCAACATAAATGAACTATGCTGCCCGCCTTTACCAATCTGCACTGACCAGCAGCGGTGGAAGACGGCCGATTGACACAGGTAGAGTCGATTGACAAAGGCTCTATACTCCTACAGGCATTGTACGGCGCTCATCTCCAGCAGTGGAAATTCCACGTTCACAAAAAAGGGACCATCACTAACAACCACTGATGATTTCGCACAAAGTGGTACCTATTTTATGACCCTGTAGAGATGGTAATGATGATGGCTTTCCTGTGCCAACCAATGAGCCTAGAATAAATGAAAGCATGTGCATTGCTATAAAACAGTCTACGTAATGAAAGGTTGATCCCACGCAACACGAAGCACGGCTATTACAATTAGAATGACGATCACCCTGATTGCGTAGTGAAATTTCATTTGGAGCAACAGGATACGTATATCTCGTTTAATTGTAATTTTTGAAATCATCAAGCACACATATATACTGCAATGCTATGACAACGCGCGCATATGCACAACCAAACTTATCGTGACACTGTATTCAACGTGCACACATTTAGCAGTTTAATTTAAAGCATTTATATCAACAATTATTATAACATTTGACCAATCAAATTAGGGATAACATTAAATCTTGACTTAAAGCTTTCGTGACTGCAGGAATTCATATTCTTTGGGTCTTTCGGTAAAGCCACATAGATAGAACAAATAATAAAAATAATAATAATATCACTACGTTTCGATCGCCGAGACAGGCTGTTTATGAAGGTGTGGTAGGTTCACGAGACACGGAGACGGTGGAGTAGAAGCAGCACTATTTATTCAAAGCTTGGCAGGTTTACACTTAGAAGGGGTAACGGCCCCTTCACCCGCATACACACTGGGACACCCACTAGGCTAACAGCCTAACCACTATGCTCCCAGTTCCTCCGCTACAGGCGCTAGAGGAGGCTGTCTGACCTGGCCCTGGTCATGGCACAGGTCACGGCACCCCACCAGACAGACCGACCCTTAAAAGGGCTCCGGCTCTGAGGCTCTGGGGCTGCACCACTGGCTTGCCCTGCCGGCCCTGAAAAGGGCAGCGGTCAGGGTAGTCCCAGGGTCTATCTAGCCGGCCTTCCTTCTTCACTGGTTCTTCACTCTTGGCTTACCCCAACACTCTGCCCCGAGCTCTTTGGCTCCCTGCCCTTTATACCAATAGACCACTGAGGGGCGGGGCTGTAGCGGACGTGTTTGTAGCCACCACTATGTGACCGTGTGTTCCCTGCCCGTAACATCCCTACATCACCCCCTCCTGTACAGCCCGCAGCCGTCTCGGCTGCAACACTACTGAACAATAAATAACGCAACAAAAACCTGAACCATGCGTGCCTCATAACAACCAAACGCCCCAATAAATAACCCAACCCACCTATACAAATATACACTATATACAGCATATACATTCCCACCCCCCCCCCCCCCCCCCCCACATTCAACCGGAATCACCCGTCGGCGCAGCAAAAGGAGACATTACAGGTAAGTAGACACAGTGTGAACAGAACAAGTGCATCAAGGAGGCAACATTACAAAAACCGGCGCGTTTTGGCGCGAGTCCGTTTGGCGGGTAGGGGGCAAAGCCGGTCGGGCCCGTGGTGGGCGCTGTCCGTTCGGGTGCGCAACCCTCCGGCATCCTGGGAGGACAATCGCGGGCAGTCGGGAGGGCGCCATTCTCGAGGCACCTGAAGATGGAACAGTTAGTGGCAGATCAGGGGCAGGCGGTGAAGTCGCCGTCCGGGAGTCAGCGGACACATCACATGCTCGGCCTTTGTTATGTGGTGGAGGAACGCGTGGCGCCACAAACGGCTTCAGGAGCGAGGGGTGTACATACCAGCGACGTTTCCCCCACTGAATACGAATACACTGTGGCCGCATGACCTGCACAATTTCCACGGGACCCCTCCATGGCCGCAGCAATGTTGACAAGGGCAGTGCAGCCAGGCTCTGCCGCCCGGGCTCCATGCATGTGTGCACGACTGGCGCGATCGCAACCTTTCGTTAGCCTTCTGTCGGGAATTTAAGTTTAGGGCGGCTGCCTCTCGCGCCTCGGTCATCTCAGGATATTCAATTTGACAGAATAGAAATTTCGATTTTGCGTTTGATTTGGAGACCTGCAGCGGAGTCTCAATAGGTGGATCAACATCGCGGCCGTACACCAAAAAGAACGGCGAGAATCCGGTCGCCGCGTGAGGAGCCATCCTGTATGTAGCCAAAACCCCCAAAATCTGAAGGTCCCAATCGGTCTGGGAGTCACACACTTGGTGACACAACATGGACGTGAGAGTCCTATGAAAGCGTTCCACCATCCCATCCGTTTGTGGGTGATAGGGGGAAGTTACGGGTTTTTTTGTTGTACCGAGAAGCGCACACACCTCGTGCCGAAGGGCGCCAGAGAAGTTCTTCCCTTGGTCAGTCAGCAGCCGTTCGGGAGCACCCTTGTCGAGGACATAGCCCTGGACAAAGGCCTCGGTGACGGCTGCTGCTGACTGGTTGGCGAGGGGCCACGCCATAGGCCATCGAGTAAAGTATTCCACGCCAACCAGCAGGTACTTGTTACCCCTAGGGGTCGCAGGGAAGGGCCCCAAAATATCGAGCGCGACGATCTCAATAACCCGAGAGACCGTAATACATTGTCTCGGCAGAGAGGCACTCCTCGCTGGCGGCTTCCGTTGGGCGCACTGAGTACATGCACCCAGGAGGTCATCCACATCCCTTGCCATACCCGGCCAGAAGAAATCTAGCTGGAGCGTGGCAAGGGTTATGTGGGTCCCTATGTGCAGAAGCCACTCGTGAGCAGCCCACACGACCTTACCCCGCATAGCAGAAGGTACCACCAGTCTGTGATGGCGGGTCTTCCCATCCCAATGCATAAGGAGCCCCTGGTGCAACCCAAATGAATCAACCCCCGTCGCCCCCCTCATGGAACCCCCTGCGCGATGACACAACGCGAGGAGGGATGCGTCCTCCATCTGGAGGCGCC